GTATATGGACTGTGACAAACTAGGAGTTGCAGAGAAAGAGCACATGGAGGCTAAGCACACATTGACGGGAATTTCTCAAAACTAGAGCAGACAAAATCTGAAGCAGCTGTGCATGGTAACCAATCAGCTTCTCTCTTTCTCTTTCAATTCTTAACTGAACAAACTGAAGAGAGCAGCTGATTGGTTACCATTCACAGCCGCTACAGTTTTGATAAATCCCCCCCCAATTGTGTTTACATTCATGTGTATGTGGGGACAATTTTTTTTTAAATTAGGGTTGATAACCCCCTGATAGCTGATAACCCCCTATGTGATTGCATATGGCTGGTGACAGGTCCTCTTTAAGAAGATATTAGGGGCCTAACTTTACCTATGGACCCCAATAGTCACAGCGGCCAAGGAATGAAAACTCAGAAAATGGAAGTGATCAAATGCGCATTGCTTCAGGCTTTATTCACCAGAGAGGAAATCCGCAAAGGGATCCCTTTGCTCTACTCTAGTAATTGGGTGGCTTAACAGCCATCTGAATCACTTCAATCAGAAAGCCGGGAGTCAGCTGAAGAAATGCAAACTGACTCCCAGATACTTTAACAACCAAAAGTCAATTTTACAGGGCTGTGCTACCAGGAAAAGTCTCCTGGTGGAGGTTCATAAGTATTATTCAGTTCTACTGATGGAAGCACACGGTTGTCAGCTGCTTGTAGTCATGAAGTATATGGCTTTACTGTCAAATCTTATTTGGGTCTCTCTTTTGTTGTGATTCATAAAGGGGTATTGTCACCAGAACAGGAATAGATTGGAAATCTTCCACTGGGGACCCTGCTGACCAATAGTGATGGGCTCAGGCGTGTTCGCAGCTCTACGTGCCGAGCCCGCCAGGAAGCTGACAGCGCAGCAGCGCCAATCACAGGTACTGAGACATTTCCTGATCTCTGCAGCTGCGGACTGGGATTGGCGCTGTTGCGCTGTCAGCTTCCTGGCGGGCTCGGCACGTGGAGCTGCGAACACGCCCGAGCCCATCATTACTGACCACCAGGGATTTCCCTCTTTTTCAAGGGGTTTTCTCCCACTTCCTCTTGAGGCTATCAGACAGGAAGTGAAGAGAAATCTCCCCAAAGGGGCACAGAGGGTAAAAAACAAAAAAGCTGACAGGGGTTATAAACCTCCTTTACAAAAAAAACTTTTGACTTCAGTTCTACTTGAATTAATATATAGCAATTAAAGGAAAAGTATGAATATGTATAAAACAATAATAACAACAAACAATATAGATACACCAATATTCCGACGCCAATATAATTACATCCCGAGAGTAGATTATCTTTGTATAATTTCACGGATTTTCCACCAGTAATCTGCCAATAGTTTCCGGAGCCAGCTGTCTCATTACTTTTTAATGTGATGGTCATTATGGCCGGTCTCATCTGTGCGGACTTAATGCTGAACTGGATCCCCGATTGGCATGTCTCATCAGCAGCAGCTGTGAGGTGTCTCATAAAGAGGAAAGGCCGTTAGATGCCTGAAGAACACGGCTTGTATGTTATATATAGATCTGTTTTCATCTGGTCTTGACTGTAAGCCAAATGAGTTCTGTGAATCCTCAGTCTGCAATTAATTATTCACCTGTTTATATGTTCTGCTGTCTGCAGATTAAGGTGAGGAAAGGGAAAAAAAAGTATTGATCAAGAATCTGCAGCCCCTGTGTAGGATCATTGTGAAAAGTTTACTGAATCCGGTTGCAATGGCCTCAGATTGAGGGCCCATTCACACCACATCCAGATCATCTCCAGACCAGACCAGATTGTTTCCGGACCGAAAATGCATCCTAATGCATCCCTATGCTATTTCTGGCCTCTGTTCACATCAGCGCAGTCGGTTCCAGACCAGACCAGAAAAATACTGCTCGTCTCATTTTGTCTGGTCTGGAATGTACTGGAACTGCGGGCAGGATCACACCATTTTCCGGACCAGATCTGGTCCAGAAAATGGTGTGAACCTGCCCTAAAGGAGAACATGTACTGAGCGATTTGAAGAAATAGGTCACCAGCACTTCAAATAATTAAAATGAATAAGTCCTTTTATTGGACAATTGTGTCACGACAATCAAAAAGAGCTGACGTTTCGGGGCCACGCAGGGTCCCTTCTTCAAGGCAAAAGAGGTCACATCTTTTGCCTTGAAGAAGGGACCCTGCGTGGCCCCGAAACGTCAGCTCTTTTTGATTGTCGTGACACAATTGTCCAATAAAAGGACTTATTCATTTTAATTATTTGGAGTGCTGGTGACCTATTTCTTCAACTTTGTGTTTTGCAACATGTGCTGAGAGACACATTGGAGTTGCCAGTGCTAAAGCCTTTCTGGAAATGGTGATTGCCTGGCTGTCTGCGGATTGGAGTCACTGGCCTTTCTCAAAACTGGGAACTTCTGAGGCTCAGAATGAACCCTTTTCTAAGTGGTTTTGTTTTTTTCTACAATCTGAAATGTCAAAGAACAAAAACAGCCCAACTTTATACAGCAAGTTGTGTGTGAATAAAGCAGACTCTAGGCAGATGTAAAAGACACAGATGAATGCAGCTCTGTAACCTATAAAGTATCCTACAGGAAATGCATTTCTTTAAATACAAGCAGTGTAAATACCTGAATGTGACTTGGTATCAGCCTCTTGTAGCCCCTGTACAGAAGAGTGTGAGAGGAAGAACAGTACAAGGAACCAATCAGTATGACCCTGCCGATAGGAGGAGAGAGCAGAGTGACAGAGAGATGAGCTCATCACTGTGCTGCTTTTCCTTTTTCTGTTCAGTCACAGGCTGGGGGTGAGTTCAGGATGATCTGGGCTCAGAGGATGTGGGTTGAATGATGTTGGGCATCACACTGAAGACTAGTGGCAGAAAGAAAGTACTGTGGAGGCAACCATTGGATTGAAGCCGAGTATTACAGCAAAAGCTAGTTTGTTATTTGATCTCTTTATGGGATATTCATTTCTACTGTTGTATGTTTTATTTAGGGCTAGTTCACACCAGCCCTGGTGTTTTCCGGCCCGATTGGTGCCGGAACGCACTGGATCGCATTCCGGCCGGCTCACTTTGTTTTGGGGCAGCATGATGTGCGATACGTTCCCGTGCGGGTGATCGCACTGCGGCCAGAAGGGCGTGGCTGCGGTGCCATTGACTTCAATGCACCGCAATGCCACCTCCCGCCCCAAAACAAAGTGGGCCGGCCGGAATGTGATCCCGTGCATTGGGCCGGAACACACTGGGGCAGGTGTGTACTAGCCCTCAAGGTTCTGCTTTAAACAATAACAATCTTAAAGAAGTACAGGGCTTTTACACACATGGGGTGCACAGAGTGCCCCCCTATCAGCCAGCTGGTGGCCACAGTCAGAGATTAGTAATTATTCTGTCTAATAGGAACAATCACATGACAACTAAAATCAGAGAAAAGAACGAAAACCTAATCTGCATATTTGTTGCCGGTCAGAGTTTACTGAAGATACCAGGTAAGCATGACAGCCAGCTAACGAGCATTTTTAAAAGTGGAGGACATTACCCACAGAATATGCTGCTATGTTTGTGTCATGCTGTTTATTACCTGTAATACCTGTCCTTTTCCTTGTTGGAAAAAGTTGAAAATCTTGAAATAAAGAATTTATAAAAAAAAAGTGGAGGACATACTTACAGGAACTTGACCAATCTGTTTGAAGTGGACTTAGCATCCAGGTATTTATTACCTCTCACAGAGATCACAGTACTCCCCCTCACAATGACTTCATCTGCTTTTCTCTTCAGAAGGACGGCACCATCTTTGTTCACGCTTCATCCAGGGTCACCATCTACTATATATATATCTTAAAAGCCATTTTATGTGATAGAATTCGGGAACCCTCTGTCAGGTTCCTTTGCTGGCTGGGTCCCCACTGGGAAGATCCCCTCACTTTCTGTCCACGTGACAACACAACAAGTGAAGGAGAATCTCACAGACAGCAATAAAATCTCAGAAAGATTCTAATCCCTCCCTGCCACATCCAAGACAAAAAAGAGTTTTGTTTGGAGTTGGGTTTTAGGTTGCAGGAAGTGTAAAGCCAGCATTGATTTTACTCCTGTATGCCATGATATATTATTACTACGGATGCAACAAAACTAATTTTTAGACTGAAGCCGACATTTCAAAATTTGTCAGACAGAAACCGAAATCTAAAATTACTTTTTTTTTCCCAACCTTTTTTAATTTTTTTAGATGATTTTTTAATTATTTTATTTTTATGTTTTGTTTTCTACTTTGGGGTGTAAACAGATCCCTGATATTTCCCTTTTAAAGTAGAAAAAATCTATTTTTCTGCAGCCCCAGCACTCAATGAACAGGAAGCTCTTAGTACAGAGGCTTCCTGTTCATTCACAATCTGTAGATAGTAAATATTTACTATCAACCCAGTCATAAATATTTAACATATTTATAAATCCTGAAGCTTCGTCTCCGGCCGAAGCTATCTGCCCTGCTCGGCCTCCTGACAGCTTCTCTTCTCCCCACTGGGCGGCAGCTGCAGGATCGGCTCTGTGTCCCCTCCAATCCCAGCTGCCTCTGCTGACACAGGCTGGGGAAAGCAGTGGGGACCCAAAGGGACTCAGACCGAAGCTTGCAGCCGGCACCCAGCAGGTAGGAGAGAAGCTAGGGATGCACCACATTCTCTGTCATTTTTGTATGTATACTACTAATTATAGGGATGCACCGATACCGATACTACTATTCTTTCGCTAGAACACCGGGTTCACAGGCAATCAGGAAGCTGGGCGATGGGTCATGATCTACCGCCTGACTTCCTGATAATCAGGCCACACAGCACCGGTAAAAAAATATCGGTACTCGTAATTGATACCAAAAAACTGGCATCGGTGCATCCCTAACTCATTATTACATCCTGTAAAACAGTGCTGTTAGATGACACTACCTGTATGTATCTGAGGAAATCTAATAATCCAATAATTCCTTTTTCCATTCTTTTATACAGGTTCCTCCTTGTTCTTATATGTTTAATATTCAGTGTCCTCTCCACCATAGAACATTACTCTGAATTTGCCACAGGAACTCTGTTCTGGATGGTGAGTAGCAGAAACCACACGAACAAATGTAGTCTCTAGCAGTGCAGAGTATTTCCGGAGAGGGGAGTTAGATAGAGGAAGGAGCAGAGTCCTCCAGCAGAGCAGAGTGTTTCTGGAGAGGGGAGTTAGATAGAGGAAGGAGCAGAGTCCTCCAGCAGAGCAGAGTGTTTCTGGAGAGGGGAGTTAGATAGAGGAAGGAGCAGAGTCCTCCAGCAGTGCAGAGTATTTCAGAAGAAAAGAGTTAGAAGAAGAAGAGCCCTCCAGGAGAGGAGCATTAGATAGAGTAAGGAAATTAGCCCACCAACAATGCAAAGTATTTCAGGAGAGGAGCATTAGATAGAGGAAGGAGAAAAGCCCTCTAGGAGAGAAGTGTTAGAGTAAGAAGAGCCCTACAGGAGAGAAGTGTTAAATAGAGGAAGAAGAGCCCTCCCGGAGAGAAGTGTTGTAGAGGAAGAAGAGCCCTTGAGGAGAGAAGTGTTAGATAGATAAAGAAGAGCCCTTCAAGAGAGAAGTTTTAGATAGAAGAAGAAGAGGCCTCCAGGAGAAGAGCATTGGATAGAGGAAGTAGAAGAACCCTTCAGGAGAGAAGTGTTGGATAGAGGAAGAAGAGCCCTCCAGGAGAAGAGAATTGGATGGAGGAAGCAGAAGAACCTTCCAGGAGAGAAGTGTTGGATAGAGGAAGAAGAGCCCTCCAGGAGAGAAGTTTTAGATAGAAGAAGAAGAACCCTCCAGGAGAAGAGCATTGGATAGAGGAAGTAGAAGAACCCTTCAGGAGAGAAGTGTTGGATAGAGGAAGAAGAGCCCTCCAGGAGAGAAGTTTTAGATAGAAGAAGAAGAACCCTCCAGGAGAAGAGCATTGGATAGAGGAAGTAGAAGAACCCTTCAGGAGAGAAGTGTTGGATAGAGGAAGAAGAGCCCTCCAGGAGAAGAGAATTGGATGGAGGAAGCAGAAGAACCCTCCAGGAGAGCAGTGTTGGATAGAGGAAGAAGAGCCCTCCAGGAGAGAAGTGTTGGATAGAGGAAGTAGAAGAACCCTTCAGGAGAGAAGTGTTGGATAGAGGAAGAAGAGCCCTCCAGGAGAGAAGTGTTGGATAGAGGAAGTAGAAGAGCTCTCCAGGAGAGAAGTGTTGGATAGAGGAAGGAGAAGAGTCCTCCAGCAGTGCAGAGTATTTGAGGAGAGGAGAGTGTCAAGTGTCAGTTATGTGTCTCCCCTCCCTCACCTTTAGTCTCTTCTCTTTTTTTTTCTTACAGGAGATTGTACTGGTCGTGTTTTTTGGTGCCGAATATCTTGTACGTCTGTGGTCAGCCGGCTGCCGCAGCAAATATGTGGGTTTCAAGGGGCGAATACGTTTTGCTCGAAAACCCATCTCAATAATCGGTGAGAACATCTTGAGCCATGTCTGGGGTTCCAGTACAATGGTGGGACTTGCTGTTGGTTATTCATAGGACAAAAGCATCCAATAAGATTCAGTCTCTGGAAATTGTATCTCTAAATATCTCTAAATATGAATTCTATGAGGTTTCTAGGGGCTTCCCACTCTGCAGATCATGGTTCATTGACAGAATTGTTGACTATGACTTACAAAGTCTAGAGGACACTGCTTGGCGTTTATTGTCACCTGACATTTCAAATAAATGACACAATGAAATACATTTTATTTAGTTTATGTTCAAAAAAAGCTGTTAGATTTAATTTCCCCAAAATTTTAACAAAATCATAAAAGTCTGGTGCAATTTTGGAAAAATGCATTGGGATTAATAGGGCAGGTGAAATTAAGGTGCTTTCTGGAGATTTTTAAAGCCCAATAAAACTTTCAGTTTAAATCAGTAAAATACATTTAAGGTGCATCAAAACAAAAGGTTTATAAAGTCCTACATTTTGTTTTCTCCTATACTTATTGGAGCTGTAGCTCTGACCAGTGGCGTCCCCAAGCCGGGTGTCACCTGGAGCGGCCACCGGATGTTTCCTGCTGGGACGCCATCACGCACGCATGTGACGTCATTACGTGCATGACCTTTAAATACTGGTGGCCATCTTGGTAATGGCCACAGGCAGAGAGAGGGGGGGATGATTATTCGGCAGGATAAGGTATGCCACTGTGTCCCCTCCTCTCTTGCACAGCTATTAGGCACTCAGTCCATGACTGAGTTGCCGACTTTTCAAAGAGGGGTGACACCAAATTGACTGTGAGTCATTTTGGTGTCACCCCCTCTGAGGGTGTCACCTGGTGCGGGCCACACTTCCCCGCACACCCCTTGTGACGCCACTGGCTCTGACGTAGCAGTGGGAACCTGTCATACTGGGCACAGCAGGTGTACAGACCCAGGAACTCAGCACAGGGATGATGAGAACCCCTCATAATAGACACAGCAGATGTACAGATCCGGGAACTCAGCCCAGGAATGGGGGAAAACCCCTCATAATGGGCACAACAGGTGTGCAGACCCGGGAACTCAGCACAGGAATGATGGGAGCCCTTTAAAATGCACACAGCAGGTGTACAGCCTTAGCAAAATCATCAGAGTCCATGACATATGCAAGTCATGACATATGCTGTCATCATCCATCAAATACTGAAATAGGAGTTTTGGGTAGACCGTTCCTGTATTTGGCCATATTTTGTTTATCCCAATAGCTGCTCATGTGTCATGTTCAGCCTCTTAATTAGAGCGGAGGTCTTCTTTAACCATTTCATGAAATCTATAGGCAATGATGATGGACAGAGCATAGAAGACAATAGAGTGCCATAAGATATACGTATAGGGTCTCCGTCCCGGTGACAGACACGACGGGATGCGGCTCTCTGACACAACACATGTTGATGAGAGATGTTTAAACTGTGTACGATTAACTTTCAAAGGCCATGTTACTTGCCGAGTGTAAGCAAGGACTAGTTTTACTATGGAGACATGAAATCGGTCATTTTTACAGCAGTTATTCTGAATATCAAAACATTAAAGTGTCATGTCACTCAAAACAGATGTTTCCGGTATGGGTGGATATACTATGTTCAAGGCTAAATCCTTAGCACAGCAGCACTCAGACTGGGAGTGTGAGGGGCAGAACAATGGACCAATGGGGGCTCTTTTGCTTTGCCCAGTGCTTTGTCTAGGTGCATTCAGGACATGAAGGGTACATAAAATATTAGTATGCAGCCTCCCTCTGGTTGTCCAAGCTAGGGGAAGGTTGTGACCAAACTGTATTGCCCAACTGATGAAAAGAAAAGTGAAGTCACCGATGTGCCGTGCTAGGCTGCCTGAATCACAAAACTGGCTGGGCAGAATTATAAATCCTGTGGTAGGTAAAGCAGTTTACTTATATATCTTTTTGGCTGGATTTAGGTTTTGAAAAAACACCCCTGTGCCAGGCAGCTACATCAGTAGGTATTTGCCACTGTAAGCTCTGGGAGTTTTTCTGCATCGGGTGCCTGTACATACTTACAAACTGTTTGCATATTGCCCCTAAGGGCCGGAGTATCGTGAAATATACAATTCACTCTGCGCTTTTTGTCTCTTCTCCCCCTCAGATCTCATCGTGGTCATAGCCTCCATTATTGTGCTCAGTGTCGGCTCCAACGGGCAGGTCTTCGCCACATCCGCAATTAGGTTGGTGAGTTTATTGGGGTCCAGGATTTATCGAGGTCGGATGTTCAGATTTGCTATCAAGCAGATCTGCCATTAAAACTTCACACTTCTCATGTATAACGCATCAGCATCACTAAATAGTTATTGGCTCAAAATAAAAAGTGTAATTTTCTTGCCATGGTAAAAATTGGGGTTTCTCTGAGTTAGTTGGGGCAACTGACATCACATGGCACCCGGCAGCAATCGCGGGGCTTTAAGATATCTACATGAGGGAGGCTTTGAGAGGTTGATAACATGTAAAAAATACATTAGATGCAATATGGGAATGTAATGACCTGGTGACAGGGTCTCTTTAAGTTGCATCATGCTATATCCTGATCACAAGCCATAGACAGCCAAGTATCTGGCATAAGTGGAGATCAGCAATGGCAGCCTATTTAGTGGTCTCAGGTTTCATCTAATAAAGTGTAATACTGTACATAGACTTTACTGGTTCTCATGATGAGTGAGATTTCTGGTTTAAAGTGACACCAAACTCAGGAGTTATATATTAAATATGCATTCAAGCACCCTAACTATTAATAAAAATGTATCTTATTTGTGTAGCACTCAGCTGTAGATCCTCAAATCATCTCTGAATTTTGCTGACACTGTGTCACCCCCTCTGATGGTGTCACCCGGTGTGGGACGCACCCCCCGCAACACACCTTGTGTGGCTCTGACTTAGCAGTGTGAGCCCCTCATAATGGGCACAGCAGGTGTGCAGGCCTGGGAACTCAACACGGGGATGGTGGGAACCCCTTTATAATGGGCACAGCAGGTGTGCAGACCCAGAAACTCAGCACAGGAATGGTGGGACCCCTCATAATGAACACAACAGGTGTACAGCCTTAGCAAAATCATCAGAGTCAATGACATATGCAAGTCATAACATATGCTGTCATCATCCATCAAATACTGAAATAGGAGTTTTGGGTGGACCATTCCTGTATTTGGTCATATTTTGTTGATCCCAATAGCTGCTCATCTTACAGCCGTGTTCAATTTGGCTGACAATGTCCTTCCTTCTGGAGGGGGCTACTTTTGTTCCCCATGGTCCCTGTGTTTATTGTAAAGTAGCCACCACTCCAAGCTCGCTCCTGTGATGGACTACAATCTCAAATTTAGTTTACTAATTTGTACTGAGATTGTAGTCCATCCTGGGAACGAGCTTGGAGCGGTGGATACTTTATAACACACACAGGGACCATGGAGAACAAAAGTAGCCACCCTCCAGAAGGAAGGACAGTGTCGGCACCAATTCAGAGATGATTGGAGGATCTACAGCCGAGTGATACACAAATAAGATACATTTTTGTTAATAGTTAGGGGACTGGAATGTATTTGTAAGATGTAACTTTAGTGCCACTTTAAGGACTACGTGTACTATGTCACTTGCTACATATTGATACATTCCTGTTGCAATGACAGATTCCAGACAACAATACAGAACAAACAGTGATGGGCAGAATCTACTGGTGTAAATATTATGTCGTCACTGGCAAATTCACAGGACCTCTTTGTAGTGCTTTTTGTGGTCCATGGAGAGTCTTTAGGTCCACCTGCACCCACCTACTCCAATGGTTTCCAGCTAGTTTCTTATTAGGACAATGATGTTCGGGGGGATTCTACCCCCATAACCCACTTGGATAGCGCTCAAACTAATGACTGGAGCCCACTGGAGAGTAACATGGAGCTCATAAGCAAATGAGAAGCAGAAGATTCACCCATCTCTTCTCTGGTAGAGCTCGCCATCTATTGTCTCCAGCACAGACCCAGACACACACATATACATTTCCTCAAATGCCAGTTAACCCAGATTGTCTTGTCGGTTTGTGGGAAGTTGGGGGACAGAACAGAACACACATCTTCAATGCAGGCGGAGGTCTGGAATGATACCCAAGACCCCAGTGCTGCAAAGAAGCTGACATGTTTCCACTGACTCAGTGTAACAGCTTTGCAATACTGCAGCTCACTGGGGATCATTATGTCATAGTGCAGCGCTGTCATGTCACTCAGCCATTGGTCAATTATTATACACAATACTCCGCTCATCGGTTGGGAAGCTGAGCATATCTTAAAGCAGAACTCCAGGCACCCAATAAACACTTTAGTTCTTATATACATTCATTAAAAAGGAGCATTTTTGACACTGTTAATATAACTACCTGAAATCTATTTTCATATTTACTTCCCACCATTCTCTGCATGCCAGTTTTTATAGAACGGTGAATAACTTATTGGTCAACGAGAACCTGACTTTGCTGCCTGTTATTGTACATCACACTAAATCCTCAATGTCTGACTTTCGCTCTGCAGGGGGATCCGATTCCTTCAGATACTTCGCATGTTACATGTGGACCGCCAGGGAGGAACGTGGAGGCTGCTGGGATCTGTAGTTTTCATCCATCGCCAGGTGGGGGCACTGCACTGCATAAACTGTACACAGGGATAGGCACTGAATTGGGACTTTGCATGGACTAGGCAAATTAGCAGGCAATCATGACAAATTGTTGTGACAAATATGATTCAGTATATAGAAATCCCAGCACTTCTGGGTGTGGGGATATGTGCAAGTCCTTCCTGCCTCTGACAGAACAGAACTTAGTACATAACTGGCCAATTGCCAGGCTGGACAGATGTCTCATATGGATGGAAGAGAGCTTATTTTAAAGTTGCTGTTTGCGTGGGAATTTTAAGTCTCTGCAGGGGCAGAACCTCAAATGGGGCGGGGCAGGAAAGTGCAGAAAATTATAGACTCCTCAAGGAGCCTCCTATCAGGTGAACCTGTTAATTTACTTCTTCTAGGTGAAGTATAGGTTCACTTTAAAGCAGTCACAAGCTGAGGCATGTCCTTAACCAGTTGTAATGTATAGCTGCAGGGAGGTTGTAGAGAGCATGTTCTGGCTTTACAGTTTGGCTAGGGTGCCAAGACTGCCAGGATAGAGTAACAACTGCTTTGTCAGGAATGATAGAGCATGTATCTGTATTTCATCTGCATTTGTTTCTTTAGCGTGTCAATGTATTCTTAAAGTGAACCTGTGCATTGCCCATGGAGAGCAAAGCAACAGCCTCAGTTTAATTCTGCTTCCCACAGTTGCTTACATTTGCCTTCTCTTCGCTCCCCCATTGCTTTGTTCAGTCGCCGGAGTAAAGAGAAGAAGCCTTGTGTTTGCTCAAAGCTGCTCTGATCAGAGTTTACAGTGGGTTGTGGATGCATTCCCCACCCCCATGTGACAGCTTTTGCACCTTCCATTTGGCTGTTCGGGCACCCAGCATTGCATTGTAGGAGAAAGGGGAGACAGTCACATGCTTCCCCATACCTAGAAGTACTGGGTGTTTCTTTTTACTCCTTGTGGGGGAGTAATCAGGATCTTGTGAGAGATCCGACATCATCGCCTGATCCGGCCGAAACCATCACTTCATGGCCAAAGTCTACGGACACCTCTGCCATTAGGGTTATATTAATGGTTGTTTACTTGATGAAAGCAATCCAGTCTGCTGATGACTTATCCTGTAACTGTAGCTCTTGAAGCAGCCAGTTCATCCTGATCCTTCATCAAGTGAGGCAGCCAAAAGAAATCATTTATTTTCACACAATGTAACACTTGCTAAATGTTCTGTTTTCAATAGGATTCGTGTCCAGAATTCAGATGGCGCTGATCATGTATGTTGCACATTTATGTGGCTCATCGTGGCCCCTTGTTGTTTGCTTTGTTCCCCCTACAGGAGCTCATCACCACTTTGTACATTGGCTTCCTGGGTCTCATCTTCTCATCCTACTTCGTCTACCTGGCTGAGAAGGATGCAGTGGATGAAGAGGGGAGGACCGGATTTTCCAGCTACGCTGATGCCCTCTGGTGGGGGGTGGTGAGTATAACGGGACATATTACAATTGTTTCTTTAATCCCAGGCAGTTCAAGTGCACTTTTAGTGGGAGTTCTAAGTGGGAAATTCTTCCAATACTGTAATCAAAAAATTAGGTCCAGTGTTGTAATAAAACACACTGTATATAAACCCAAGAACCAAAATGTAATATATTACATATTATCAGTACTTAGATGTGGTGGCTGCATTAGTTTTCTTTTTTTTTTCTTTTCCCCTGGGGATCCTGCCAGTAAAATATTTCAGTCCTAGGGTGACAACGCTCACTCACTATGTTGTATCTGTGGAGGAGCAGCGTTGTCGCCCTCAGAAGTGTGTTTGTAGTACATAACACCCCCTTTACAGCTTTATTCCCAGGGGGAATGGTGTTCTGTAGTTCAGCAACAGAGAACTGGGCAAGGCTGACAACACTGCTTAGCATTTCAGTGCATCAGTTGCACTGCGTTGCCTGATCAAACAGGAACTTAGGAACTCACTGTATTACTGGCAGATAAACAGGTATTTGTACTATAGTTTTTTTTAAGAAACAAAATATGACCAAATCTACATGTATGGCAGAGATGTACTGTATATTTTTTTCCCAACCATACACATTAACAAAACTTTTGGCAGGTAAAACATTTCCATTCTGAATGTTTCAGATGCTTTTATTTGTGAAACAATATTACATTATTATTCAGAGACTTTTTCAATTGTTAGAAGGTTTTTCTATCTTGAAATCATTTATACAATATCTGCTGGAGGGTATTCTATGGGATGATCAGATATCAGCCTGTATGACTGGGTTTAGTTTCCCGTTACACAGGTCACCGTGACGACGATTGGTTATGGGGACAAAGTTCCACAGACGTGGATTGGGAAGACAATTGCGTCTTGCTTCTCTGTCTTTGCCATCTCCTTCTTTGCACTACCAGCGGTGAGTAATGTATATAGTACATGCATATTCATCATATGTATGGTTCTTTGGAGTTATTAAATAATTTCAGATGTGAAAGCTGCAACAAAAAAACGAACATGTGTGACAATAGTAAATACTATTAGAAGAATATTGAACGGTGTACAGACCTAATAAGAATACAATATTGACCGTTTCACTGCGGAGCCCTATGTGATTGCTGGGAAAGTCTCCGCAGTCTTGTCCAAGGTGCTGACTTTCTTTTCTCTCAGGGGATTCTGGGTTCTGGCTTTGCTCTGAAAGTCCAGCAGAAACAGCGACAGAAACATTTCAACAGACAGATCCCGGCCGCAGCATCGCTAATCCAGGTACATTATACACTGTGCTGGTTCAGAGGTGACATAGAAAATGTATGTATCTAAGATAGAGAAAAGGGCTGGGGGGAGACTGAAGTAAAAAAAAATGCAAGGAGTGGAGGAGAGGAAAGAGAAGAACATGAGAAAAGAAGGAAAAAGAAAAGGTGAGAGAGAAGGCAAAAGATATAAAACGAGAGAGGGAGAGAAAACAGAAGATAAAGAGAACGCGGAGGAGAGTGACAGAAAGAAGAGAAAAGAAAAAGATATAGAGAGAAGATGAGAGATAGAAAACAAGAAAGACAACAATAGAGAGAAGAAAAGAGAGAGATAAATGGTAAGACAATGAAGAGCAGTGGAAAGTAGACAAGACAAGGAGAGTGACATAGAAAATACAAGTAATAGAGAACAATAGAAATAAGATAAGCGAGATAGAAGATAAGAGAGATAGCAATAGACAGAAGACAAGCGAGAGAAGACAAGGGAGAAAGAGTGATAGAGAGAAGGCAACAGGGAGAGAGCTATAGAGACAAGACAACAGACAATTACAGAGAGAACATACGAGAAGTCACAGGAGAAAAAGAGAAGGCAGAGGAGAGTGACAGAACGCAGGAGAGAAAGATACAGAAAGAAGACAAGAGATAAAAATCAGGAGAGGCAGCAACAGAGAGAAGAAAAGAGCCATAAGACCAGAGAGAGCGATAGAAAGAAGACGAGAGTGAAAGTGACAAAGACAAGTACTAAAGATCAATAGAAAGAAGGAGAGAGAGAGAAGACAAAAGAGAAAAAGATAGAGAGGGCAAAAAGGAGAGAGCAATAGATTGAGGTGAATAGTGAAAGAGCAATGGAGAGATTATGAGAGAGAAGACAAGAGGGGGAGAGCTATAGAGGGAAGACAAAGGGAGAGCGCTATAAAGAGAAGACAAGAGAAAGAGAGGGAAGATTAGAGATAAAGAACTTTAGAGAGAAGACAAGAGAAAGAAATGAAAGACAAAGGGAGAGGGCTATAGAGAGAAGACAAGAGAGCAAAAGACAGAAGAAGAGAGAGAAGACAAGAGAGGAAAGAGAGCGAAGACAAGAGGAAGAGAGTGATAGAGAGAAGACAAGAGAAATAGCGAGAAGACGAGAGAGAGAGTGAGAGAGAAAACAGAGATAAAGAAACGAGAGAGAGAGAGAGAGAGACTGATAGAGAGAAGACAAGAGGAATAGTGAGAAGACAAGAGAGAAAGAGTGATAGAGAGAAGACAAGAAGGAGAGAGAAATAGTGAGTGAAGGACAATCGCACTACCACAATGAAGTGTCTGCCCACATGGTGACAGAGTGCACCAATTATCAGAGGGGCACACATAGAAGGGTTTTCTGCCCAATAAAAGAAAAGAACATCCAAAGGTGCCTTCTTATTGTGGGACTATTGGATCGTAAGATTTTAAAAAGGCTGAGCAGGTTCACTCTAAAGTATGACACTTACGCTTGCGCTGTAATTGTATGCGATACATATTTTTTTTATTGAAACTGGAATTTTCCTTTAAATGTCTGTAACATGGCACAACCATGTTCCACAATCCATGTACCGTAATAACTGACACGTGTGATTCTGTCACTTGCAGACCCTGTGGAGGTGTTACGCTGCAGAGAAGTCCTACAACTCTACAGCCACCTGGAAGATCTACCTGACCCCTCCAGATCAGAATAACAAGTCAGTGCCGACGGCGGGCAGCCCTATCGCACGGAGACAGGTCCGGAGATTCCAGCAAGCCTAATCAGATAGTCTTCAATTACCTAGACTAGAACGCCTCCTTTCTATGCAGTTATCTACTCAGTGGTGCTGAAACTTTCTCACTTCCATGATATGGAAGCGTAAAGTCCAGCAGGGAGGATGGGAGCCCCTTCAACATGGCAAGAGAAAGGTTGACAGAGCAGGGATGATAACTCCTTTATTGCATTTTTTGTAATAAAAAATGCATTTTTATTACAGAAAATGAATTTTTTTAAAATCGGTATTGGAATGCTGGAAACTCTGTCATCTTTTTTTGTCTTTTATTGTTGTTTCCCTGTTGGAGATTTTCTCTCCTTCCTGTCTGGTAAAAGGTTCTCTCCAGAACAGAAAGAGAAAGAAACAGAACAGCAGAAGGAAGAGGAGACATTTCTCTGACCAAGCTCCAGATAGCAGTAAAACTTGACAGGGGTTCTAACTAGGGATGCAGCAATACTGGTTTCTCGGAATTAAGTATGAGTACCGATATTTTTTCCCAGTACTCGCCGATACCGAATACCGATACCGGAATCACAAGGTATCATGGACCTGGCTTTTTAGGCAATCCTGATTGCCTGGATAGCCGGTGTTCTATTGGAAGAACAACGGCTTCACATTCCCTCGCGACACTACGAGGCAGCCTGGTTTCCTGACCAATCAGGAAAATGGGCGGTGGGTCATGACGTGCCGCCAGGCTGCCTAGCGACAAGTGAAGCTGGCTTCCTAGCTTATCAGGAAGTTGGGAGGTGGGTCATGACCTGCCGCGTGGTTTCCTGATTGGCTGGGAAGCCGGCTCCATGCTCCCCCGCAGCACTGCCGGCCAGAGGGAATCTCCCTCTGACCGGAAGTTCCGGTATCAGGGTAAGTATTGAAGCATTTGGGCGAGTACAAGTACGAGCCCAGATACTCTGTATCTGCACCTATACCAGTATTGCTATTGGTGCACCCCTAGTTCTAACCTTTCCCCATTCTGTCCGAAAACAAAAAAAATTAAGTATAGTTACACTTTAACTACTTGAGTATCAGCCTGTAACACCCCTTCATTACCAGGACAATGTTTCAGCTTTCAGTGCTGTGATAGTTTGACAATTTCTCGCTCATGCAACTCCCTACCCAATGCATTTTATATCATTTTTTTGAGCCTGAGTTTTTTCTGGTGGTATTTTTTTACCTGCTGTTTTTTTATTTTCTACTATATAAAAGAAAACAAAAAGGACAAAAATGTGGGATTTCTTACATTTACCTTTCATTTCTTTAGCTTTAAAAACAATCCCACTACCATAAGCGGTCAGCGGCACTTTAATCCACCCCTTCTCCTTCAATCTTCTGCAATCCTTCTTTCTGTTGTTTACAAACATTCAGCGCTCCCCTTGCTCACTTCCTCCATTGTGAATGGGCTGAATGTTTGAAAACACTGGCAGTGTCTACACTTGTGATAGTTATGATTGGTTCACAACAATCACAAGGTACAGAGCCACTCTGTCCAATGACAGCTCTAATACAGCCATTCAGGGGCGCATTGTTTTCCACAGAGCTGTTTATAAATGGTCCTCTTATGCACCGTTTCTTGTACTATAGAGCAGTACCGAGGTGGTAAACTTGTGCCAAGGACAAGGATTCACCTATCCACCTTCCCACAATGCAGTGCTCACTTCTTCAGCAATCAACAGCATTGGCGACCGCTGTTGTATGAGGGGGGCCTAATCTTAGGCAAATATCGACTTTCCTTAGGCAGAGATGTAGCTCTGTCTGTACTGTTTGGTGACTGAAATTCCTTGCTCTTCCCCCAGAACAGAAGAAGTAGGAAGAAGACCAAATCTCTGCATGAGGCCCTTGTCACCCCCACCAGCCCCACCCTGGCCCCGTTGTGCCTGACTCCGATGCCCTCGGGTCCCCGGGCGTCGGCCCCAGAAAATGCCCTGTCTGTGCCTCACATCACCTACCATCATGCGGAAGGGGACAAAAGCAGCCTGAACTTCCAGGGCCCCACAGGTAGGTGGTCACAATATAATAACGGTGTTCTTTATGACATTTTGAAGTCTAATTTACTCCTACACTTTGCTTCTGTGCAGGAACCTCCTTCAATAAAGACCGGTCACTGCTGCTCTCCCTCCTTGTGCAAGGAGACTGGTCTTGTCTCCGCCCCTTCCTGTAGTTTTCTGCAGGCAACCTGTAATGGGTGGGGTCTGCTGGGTCCCTCCCATAGCTCTGCTCTCTGAACAGGTTATGTACAGTCCAAGGACCGTCATGGCATGGTCACCAAGAATTATATTCATGGAAGTTGCCTATTTTAAAAGATGAAAACAAGCTTTTGATATGGCATTAATATGTTAAAGATAATATGAGATTTTAGTTCATGGGTACACATCTACTTTAAGTGTTATCAGCACAGTCAGCCATTCTAAATAAGGGAACATGACAATATACAGCAGAAGTAGGCACTCCAGCTTTGGTGAAACTGCAAGTCCCATGAGACTTTGCAAAACTCTGAAGTCTACATGTATAAGTCCCAGAGGCACAGGCCTGATGGGATTTGTAGTTTCACAGCAGCTGGAGTGCCAAGGTTGCCTAACCCCAGATATACAGCATCAAATTACTAGATAGAGGCCCATATTTCAAGATCAGCAAAACGGCTGCTTTGTGTTTCACAGCACCCTTCCCAGCTTGGCAGGCAATGACTAGTGATGAGTTACACCAGGATAAGGGTTTGAAAAAGTTATTGGCCAAAATAACAAATGTCAGAAAATCTTTTAGTGCTGACTTTTATAAATAGGTCCTGGGGGCTCTGCAGGTATACATGGTGGCCTGGCTAATGACTCTGCTTTCTCATAATCATGACATGATACCTCTAGTCAAATCAGTTTTGGAAAAAGTAGGGGAGGGATAAAACCCATGTTAGTTTATTTCCTTTGTCCCATTAGGAAGATTTCTACTGACTTCCTGCCCTAGAAACGCAACAGGAAGTGAGAGGAAATCTCTTCAAAGTGAGGAAAATCCCCTCTTAGTTGTCACTGGAACAGGTGTCCCCTTTGGAAGGTTTCCCCCTACTGTTTCAGGTGACAGCTGTATACATTTGGATTTCCCATCACTTTCTCATGTCACTATGGAGTTCCCATCATAATGGTCACCTGGGGACACAATCAGTAAAAAAAGAAAACCCCTGTCATGATTTTTAAATTTTAGAAAAAAGTTTAAATTGATGCAAATAAAGCTTTGCCTACTTGGACCCTCTACAACCTCCATGTTCTTAGATCTTATTCTATATCTTCTGAGCTTGGCTTTTTCTCTTTCCTGTCCCGTCTTTTCACTCTTTCTGACAGGTCGTTGCCGATCCTGGTCCACCCTCACTATCTGCACATCCAGTAACTTCACTGCACAAGGTATCTCAGGGTCAGAATTACAAAGCTGTGTAATGTTTAAACTGCTTATATTGTTGCCCCCTCCTGGTCCTGTACAACATGCTAATGACGATTTCTATGTATATTGCCTACCTTACTTTACCCAGAGATGTCATCAACAACAACAGCAATGCAGGCAAATCATAGCTGGTAGGAGGGGCTGACAGGGTGCTGTACATAGCTTCCTGAAAGCATCACAGCACCCTGCCTCAGTACTTCTCAAGAGTCCTCAGCCCTGATGAAAGCAGTGGGTTGGATATTTGGAGGTGTTATGCAAATATCAAAATGTCTTGATAGGCAGATGTCAGTCTAGAATAGTGGTTGACCTTAGGCAAAGATACAGACCTCCTGTAGGTAACATCCACATGTGATGCCAAGCCCCCTACTCCACTCCTGTGAGCTACAATCCCACTACTCCACTCCTGTGAGCTACAATCCCACTACTCCACTCCTGTGAGCTACAATCCCACTACTCCACTCCTATGAGCTACAATCCCACTACTCCACTCCTGTGAGTTATCTGCCCCTACTCCACTCCTGTTAGTTATCTGCCCCTACTCCACTCCTGGGAGTTATCTGCCCCTACTCCACTCCTGGGAGTTATCTGCCCCTACTCCACTCCTGTGAGTTATCTGCCACTACTCCACTCCTGTGAGTTATCTGCCCCTACTCCACTCCTGGGGGTTATCAGCCCCCTACTCCACTCCTGTTAGTTATCTGCCCCTACTCCAGTCCTGTTAGTTATCAGGCCCCTACTCCACTCCTGTTAGTTATCTGCCCCCTACTCCAGTCCTGTTAGTTATCACCCCCTACTCCACTCCTGTTAGTTATCAGGCCCCTACTCCACTCCTGTTAGTTATCAGCCCCCTACTCCACTCCTACTATCCCCCTACTCCACTGCTGTGAGTTACCAGCCCCCTACTCCTCTTCTTTGAGTTACTAGTCCCCTACTTTACTGTTATGACTTTATTATTCCACACTTCACTTGTTTGGTCCAGTCCGAATGTTGGAGAGACATTTTCTCTGATATGCAGACAGTTCTCTGGATTCAATCATTAGCTATAAAACATAATTTGTCATAGTAGAGCCCCTCGATGGTCAGACAAAAGATATGTGAAGGAAATGAAACATATTTTTATTATTCCGTCATTGAGTCTATATCTGTAATACTTTCTGTGCAGGGAGGAATCGGCCAGACGAATCCCTTCCAGACATTTCCCGGACAAACAGCTACACAGACGATATGGATGCCATGAGTGAGGAGAGCCCTCTGCCAGCGGTCACCAATATCTCACAGTAAGGAACCTTTCCAATGGCAGCAGGGTGGAATATTCTCAAGACCAATCCACCCAAAATTGATATTTCAGATTCATGTCGGGGGGCAGCAAGTCTCCGCTGCCTTTTTATATCTGTTGGGGACTCCAGGGGTGAGACCTTTCCACCTCTTCTCTACATTCCCACTCTCCTGGAGGTGCTCCCACTCCGTTTTCCATAATATAAAATAAAACCTCATAATGGCGGTGGTAAGTGTGCAGACCTTTTCATCCCTAAAAGTCCCCGAGAGAATCAGGTGCTTTAACTCTCCAGCATGTATCAAATCTGAAATATCAGTTTTAGATGGACTGCCCTTTAAAGGGAACCTGTGAAGCATTGATCATGAAAGGCAAAGCAGTAAGTTTCACTGCCACCCTCCCCAACGGCACCTACTCACCTTCGCTCCCCTTTATTCAGATGCTGGAGCAAATAGAAATATCTGCCTTCATACCTTCATACTTGAAGGTATGAAGAGCATGTGATCCCATCCCCTTCCTGCTATGTGATTCCCTGGTTGCTGGTATTTGCCAGTTAGGAGATCACTTGGCACTCCATGTTCTCTTTACTCCCAACAAGAGCAAAGCAAAGGTTCACTTTAAGGGCAGAATGTCATTGTTCTGTAGGGAATGCAGAGTGGTTGGCTTACAAACATATACATGGAAACGTCCCATAACTAAACAACATATTGAATAAACAATCGTTTGGTGAAATGTTTTTCCTGCACAGAGCAGTTTTCCTATTTTGCCTAAAATGTATGCTGGTCAAACAGGTAACCATACAAGCATTGGATATAATGATCATTTCAATGAAAGAATCACATCTTCCAGATATCATTTCACTCTTCCATTTACATTGACCCAGGATCCTTCTGATGGAATATCTAGTGGAATTTGACCAGATTGAAAGTTCATTTTCATGTGAAAGATCATTTAAAGCTAAACTCCAAAAAAAGCAATTATTATCTAAATACAAGAACCATGTGTATTCTTATTGAACCCTAACTATTAACAAAAATGTATCTTATTTGTGTATCACTCGGCTGTAGATCCTCAAATCATCTCTGAATTGGTGCTGACACTGTCCTTCCTTCTGGAGGGGGGCTACTTTTGTTCCCCATGGTCCCTGTGTGTGTTGTAAGGTAGTCACCAGTCCAAGCCCACTCCTGGGATGGACTACAATCTCACACTAATTTAGTTTAATAATTGGTATTGAGATTGTAGTCTATCACAGGAGCGAGCTTGGAATGGCGGCTACTTTACAACACACACAGGGACCATGGGGAACAAAAGTAGCTTCCCCACATGCCATGGAGATGTAGAGAGGGGCAAGTGTTCTGTAGTCATACTTCCTGTCCTAGGGTGATAACACTGCTTCTCTGTATATATGATGTGGTAAGTAAGTGAGTATTGTTACCCTTGGACAGGAAGTGTTACCGCCAGGATTACCAGGTGAAAGAAAGGTATATAAAGCCTGATAAAAATAAAACTAATGAGGCCGCCACTTCTAAGGACTGGTAAGATGCAATATATCACAGTTTTGTTCTTGGGTTTAGATATATTCTAGCCTTCCTTAGGAGAGGCAGCAGGCAGAGAGAGAAGGGCAGCACACCTCTTGTGCCATCTTCTAGTCCAGTTGGCAGCCATTGATGTTTAGAGGATTCAGGGTGGAACCCCAGCAGAAGCTGTGCTTAGGCTCTGATCATAGACAGCTCTGTAGAATGAGAGTGGTCTCAGGTTGTGTGCATTGCTTGCAATTAGTGTGCCTTCTCTGTTCTGGAAGAGGACTACCTCAGCAGCATAGGTTGCAGGTCCAGCTCTTACTAAGCCCTCCATGTCGCTGAAGTGCCCAAGACAGCCAACAGTTTTGCCTACTTATTACCCAGCCAGGGTTAAATGTATGGAAAAGTGGTGTCACAAAAAAAAAGAATAGAGTCCAAGCTTCATTTATTTTTGAAAAGACAAGCCAATGTTGCCAAAACCATTTACAGGAGCCTGCTTTACAAAACGAAGCATCAAGGATCATAAAACAAGCACATTGAGCCCTGATGAAGAGAGACCCTGGACCCCGAAATGTAGTGGCTTGTCGCTTATGAGGAAATATAGGTAGTTTGGACTGGGTTAAGGAGGCGGACCTTATCCTCCAAATATCCCTTGGTCAACACCCGAGCCCCCTTTGTGTATAAAAGCTGCCTAACCTGCCTCACCGCATGTCACTCTAGACTTTCCTTAACCAACCACAAATTAAAGATTGGTATCCAATGCCCTCATCCATACCTTGAGGTCTGGTTACGTGGATGGCCATCATGGCAGATGAGAAAATTGCTTACATACAAGGAGCGTTTTCCGATTCACTAACATGATAAGGATGCTTTTCTGTCTATAGCGTTAGATTGTGTTTCATGTGTATTGTTTCTTTCTGCTTTTGTTGCCTTTTATATGAGTTTTTATCTGTGCCCATCCTTGTCTGTGTAACGGTTATGCTTTGTCTTCCCCACAGCTCGATGGGCAGGTGAGGATGTGTGCGGGTAGATGTGTATAAAAGTGGATGAAAAGACAGCTGCATTACATAAGTATACATTGTTATAAAACGAAAGCTCTGAATCAAAGACACAGAGTCTCTGGCATTGCCCCGGGAGGCTTATTGTTACTAAAACTCAATTTGTTATCCATTTTTATACACGTGCCCCTGCATGCTTGGGTGTGTGTGCCCCCTTAGTGTGCGTGCTTTGGATGAATGATTATAAAGTACATAATGATGATGCAGCACAATGAGAGTGGATGCAACATGAACACAATATACACCTCAGCACTGTATTTTACACTTTGTGTTCCCTTATCTCTAATCAATTTCTCTACTATTGCCCTCTTCTGTCTGAGAAACATGCTCATTGTCATCTGAGATTCTGTCTTGTATTATTTACCAGAAAACCAGCTCTCAGTGCCGTAGGTTTTACCCTCTAATAGACCATGTGACTACAAACCTCCAAGGCTTACATCTGGCTTTACCAGGCCATGCACAAAGCTGCCCGTTACTGAAACAATGGATTGCAGAATACTATGAAAACCTCTGCTTTTATCTACTGTATATATGCAGAATGCAGTAGTGCATATTGTGTCACTGTTCTCCCCTAAGTGTACATACAGTGTGGGTGTGCTCCTTTGAGTGCACATGCTGTGTAGGTGTACTTCCTGGAGTGTACGTAATGTCTGGGTTTACTCCTCTGAATATGCATGCTGTGTGGGTATACTCCTCTGAATATGCATGCTGTGTGGGTATACTCCTCTGAATATGCATGCTGTGTGGGTATACTCCTCTGAATATGCATGTTGTGTGGGTGTACTCCTCTGAATATGCATGCTGTGTGGGTGTACTGCTGTGAGTGTACATGTTGTGAGGGTGTAACCCTTTGAGTGTACATGCAGTGTGTGTGTACTCCCCTGAGTGTAGATGTGGTGTGGGTGTAGTCCTCTAAGTGGGGGTGTACTCCTCCGAGTGTACATGCGATTGGGGGTGTACTCCTCCGAGTGTACATGCGGTGTGGGTGTACTCTGAGTGCAGATGTGGTGTGGGCGTACTCCTCTGAGTGTATATGCGGTGTGGGTGTACTCCTCTGAGGACATGTGGTATGCCAGTGTGCTTTCCCATTGCTAGGTGTCCAGCATTATATGTGACCTGTCACACACTCTCCTGCAGGTTGACAGAAGCTCACAGGACAGCAGTAAAGGTCACACGGAGAATGCAGTATTTTGTGGCCCGCAGAAAATTCCAGGTACCATAAATCATGTATATGTCAGGTGACTATGAGACGGGTATTATGGCTGATAGACGACTAGGCTTCCAGATATAAATGTGAATGTGCTCCCAGCTGAGGATGGGTGGACACACTTTCACCGATCAGTTGTATATGTCAGAATTACTTTTAGTGAATCTTGTCATTCTAATCTTGAAAGCCGGGTTTTCTGTCCAGCTCAATGCTGATTGGCTGAGAAGCATCATACCGGCTGTTTGGCCAGCTCGATGTTGATTGTCCAGGAAGCCGGCTGCCCAGCCAATCAGCATAGAGCCGGCTTCCTGGCTGATGAGGAAGCCGGGAGGCGGGTCATTACCCGCCGCCCGACTTCCTGATTGGCTGGGATGCTGGCTCCATGCTGTTTGCCCGGATTCAGTAGAGACCAAATATGATATAAACTGGATGCATCTTCCTCTTAGGAGGTCTAATATATATTTTTATACTTCTGGATTTTGTAATATCGGCATGTTTGTTGTTCTAACTGACATTAGTGTAACCACTTTGTATGAATGTCACTACATTACTGTAAGAGTTATGGATAGGGATGCACCGATATATCGGCCGAAAATTGCACTTTTGGCTAAATGCCGAAAGTGCAATTTTCCTGCCGATACATCGGCGCATCCCTGCTTTCTTTCCTCCCCGCTGGGCGCTGCTCTGCGTCCCAGGCGGAAGAGTGAAACTGTGATAGCCGGCCGAGTGCTGCGGGAGGAGAGCGCTTTTAGCGGCCGACGTCTCTCCTCCCACACCGCTCAGCCTCCTATCACAGTCCGGCAGAGCGGTGTGTGGGCGGAGACCGGCCGCACTGTCACAGGTGGCTGAGCTCTCCTCCCCACACCGCTCCCTCAGCCTCCTATGACAGCGTGTCAGAGAGGAGCGCGAGTGTCAGTGATCTCTGAGTGTTTGTACATAATTGAGGACATGGTATGTTAACTATAGCCTCAATTATGAATGAATGGGAAGTGATCTGCATCACCCCCATTCATTCATAATTGTAGTTATAGTAAACATACAATGTACTCATGTTATCAATGAACAGGAACACTCAGAGGATTCCTGTTCATTGATAACAGGGGACACAGAAAAAGAGATTGAGGACTTTGTGTTCTCAATCTCTTTTTCTATTTTAAAAGGGAAATATCAGGGGTCTGTTTAGACCCCCAATATTTCCACGAAGCCCCTAAAAGTAAAAATAAAAATATTTAATAAAAAATGAATAAATAAATATACAAAAAATTAAAAGTTTATAAAAAAATAAAATTATTTTTCAAAAATTAGAAAAATGAAAATACAAAAAATTTTTGGTTTAGGCCTGACAATTTTTTTTTTTCGGTTTTGAAATTTCCATTTCGGTGCACCTCTAGTTATGGAATATGAATACAGCTGAGAGCATGATATCTAATAAGGTTTAAACCAGACTTACAAATACATCTAACCGCCCCTGTTACTGACGATAATAAAGGTGGTTGTGCGTTCATTACAACTTTGCGCCACACAGTTTGGGGTTTTCCAGACCTCATTATTTGCTGCTTCTTCACTGAGTCGGTGCAGTTTATAATTTTGTACAGGAGATTCCCAAAAAATGTTTTCTAGAGGACCTTGTACAGTGTCTGGTAGGGGTGTCATGATTAAAAAACTGGCTTTAATGTTTTTAGCAAGTAGGACAGATCACAGATGGCTGTGTATCCAGCTTATTACCTATACTTACTCTGTGAGCTATCACATGTGTCATCCACTTCTTATCTTTTTCTGACCACTTCCCCCACCCTCCCAGCAAGCTCGGAAACCATACGACGTTCGGGATGTGATTGAACAATATTCCCAGGGACACTTGAATATGATGGTGCGCATCAAGGAGCTGCAGAGAAGGTAACGGGGACAGAGGGGTGGAAATGTAGTGTCATAGTCGCCGC